AGCGAGGCCAGGAGAAGCTGCTGCTTATTTTTCTCCTCCGGTTCGGCGGCCGCTCTGTGATCTTCCTGGTGCTGAACGGTAACACGCTCTTGTAATAAACTGCAGCCGGGAGTCACCTGGGGAGAGCAGGGCTGGAGCGCGGGAGATAAAACTCCAAGCTTTGCACAGGGACCTCTCCACTAGCCGTGGGCGAATTGTTTAATCTGCTCGTATCTAAGGTCACTGGCCATTAAATTCTTTTTTTGCTGGGGATAGAGTCCATTAATAAATATGCGATGCTCAGATACACAAGTGATGTGGGGCTGCATAAACCTCAGTCCACCCAGGCTTGAGTGAGACGCTATTAAAAGCATTTTCTAAGGGAAAAGTGGCATAGACTGCTTGGAGAGGCAGTGGACTCTATTTTTGGAGGCCTTTAAGGATGAGTTAGGCTGACATCCCTTGGGAATGATAGCTGCACAGGGCTTTCTAACTTGAATTTTATGATTTACTGTTATCCAAAGCCATTGACATGCTGATACAGGTTTGAAAGAAACTGCGACTTCCCCAAACTTGAATAAACCATTTAAGATACTTAAAAAGTGATGATTTTTCCCTTCCCTTTGTATCCTGCTTCAAAGCAAGCAGGAAAATATGGGGTCTGTTCTATTCTGTGCACCAAGATGGTGCCGCCCTCCTGAATTCCTCTCGGTGCCTGTGCAGAATGAAGTCCTCTTGCCTGCACCTTTCCCATTGAAGCAAGCTAATTTAAAAGCCATTTTGCAGCAGTGTGCTTAAAGCTCAATAGCTGCCAGCTGTAGTTTCTAAGATAGCAGGTGTAGAAGTATCAGCAGAGCCGAAGGAGAAGGTGTCTGCATCCTGCCGCGTCGGGATCGGGATGGGGCTGGGGGGTGCATTTGCGGGTCCGTGGGCACCCTGGGGCGCTTGCGGGTCCGTGGGTGCAAAGAGGCCCCTCCTTGGGTCTCTTTGGAGGATTTGGGACGAAGAGGAGACTGCGCGGGGCGCTGGTAGCTGCCCTGTGCCACCCGCGGGAGGTTGCACCGAGCCTGCCCTGCTGCCTTTCCTCCCTACCCCAGACCTGCTGGCACGCGGGAGCGACGGAGGGGAAGAGGCAGCTTGTCCGGTACGCGTTGTATAAACAACGTGGCCAGCGTGGGCAGCGGGAGGCAGCTGTGCGTGCAGCCCACGCGGGCGGGCTCCTTATCAGGGAAATGCCTTTGGGCTCTGCGCGGCGGTCCCTTCCTGCGCCCCGGCCCGCGGGAGGCAATAGCCACAATGCTGTGTTTCGCCCTCCCGGCTCTTTCTCAGCAGGCTGCCCACGGGCCCGTGGACACGGTGGCAGGGACAGGCCGTGTGCGGGGACGCCGAGGCCACCGGGGCCCAACAGGCGCCAAGCTAAAGCAGGGGCAAAGAGCTGGATTTTGCCCCCAAGCCATGGGGCTCAGCATCATGGGTGGCAACGGGGTAAAACCAAATAAAAGCCCTAAGTCAAAGCAGGGCTGCTCAGAGCAATGCCAAGGGCCAGGCTCAGGCAGCCGGGGCTGCTTCTTCCCCGGGCCCGTGCGGCTCTAAACACCCTTAGCTTTGGCAGTAGAGTGGGGAGCGCTTTGTTGTCCCCTCTCCCACCGAGCCGGGGGACAGCGGCAGCTCCTCGCGGGGCCGCCTGGCCCGGGATGCCTCTCCCAGTGGATTTCGCATCTTTCCCATCATCGTGGCGCCGGTGAGAGGCTGGTCAGAGCCAGGAGATGGGGTGAAGTGAAGGGACCCGCCAAGGCAGGGCACGGTGGTGGCCAGCGAGCGGGGACGTGCCAGTTCTGCTCCGTGGAGGGAGCGCAGCTGCGGTGCTGATGACATCAAAATTGTGCCTTTGATCCATCATTTTCCGCGGGAGATTCTCTCCTTTTTTTTTTTTTTTTTTGCTTTAATTTTCCTTTTTTTTTTCTAATGTGCATAAAATAACACTAATGACAAACTGTGGTGCCTGTAAGTGAGTGACAGCTGAAATGAGAGAAATGACTAATCATGCCTCCTGAAGACCTGTCGCAGGGAGATTAAATGAGCCCTTTTTTCTTCCCCCCTAAATGAGAATCATGGGCATTTGAATAATAATATTATAGTCTCCATTAGGATGACAGTGGGGGAAAAAAATCAGCTCAGACCTGTGATTATTCCTTCAATCTAATAATTATTTAAATACCAGATAACTCCTTTCAGCCTAATTGAGGCCTTTCAGCTGCTTGGGTTTATATTGTGTCCCTGAATTTACACTCTCTTTCACCTCGTGTTACTAATAGCTTCAGATTGCTTTTTAAGGCCACATTTTAAACTCTCTTCCATTTTTTTTTCTTCTTTAATGGTCAAATAGCGCTAAGGTTAGAGTTAAAATGCCCCCCTCTGCCCTGGTGCTGCTGTTTAACTGCAGCAGCTGCTCTGAGGCGCCGGTGCTGTGGGGACGGCGGCGGCCCGGGGAGCAGGATCATCCCGTGTCCGTGCGCCTGCGGAGGGGACAGTGCCAGGCAGTGCCCGGTGGCCTCCGGCCGCTGCTTGGGTGCGTTTGAATGCACGTTTCAGGCACGTCTTGCTCCGGGTCTCCCCTTGCTGTTTGCAAAGCCTCTGCAAGCCGCGAGGTGCGCGTGGAAGCCGCCCTCGAGCCGGCACCTCTGCTTTGCCAAGCCTGCATTGGGTTTCGTGCTGCTTTGGAATGAAAACCCCGTAGGGAAAGAATACAGAATCGCCGCAGTCGAAGGGGAGGCTGCCCTCGGCCCCTGCGCATGCAGCGTGTTTGACTCCCGCTCGCGCTGCTCTTTGCTCGGCTGGCCGCGGCACCGCTTGGCTTTCGAAAGCTCTGCGCAGGAAAAGCCGTTTGTGCTGAGCTTTAGAGCAGCGGCCCCGTAGGAAGGAGAACTCCCTGGGTAAGGTCTTTTACTTTCTAGACTTCCCTTCCGTGCTAGAGCCCTCTGCCCCAGGAACGCCCCTTCCTTGATGGGAATATAGCAACTGAGGTAAGCGCTATTTCGGTCGCCTCTTAGTGGAGGCACATTTTGGCCTTTGAGGAATTCCTGCTTGGGCTGCTCAGCCCCGGGCCCTTTCCTGAGCGCTTCGACTGCGGCTTTTGCTGCAGGGCCGGGTTTTGGTGCGGCCGGCCGGGCTCGGAGCAGCTGCTGGTGCCTTGATCGCTCACTGGGGCTGTTGTACCCGTGGTCTTGGGTTTGGTAGATGGGTTTGGGCTTCCTCTGGTTTGTTCTTTACGTGCTGCTGTGCGCGCCCTGCATGCGGGTCTCCAAGGCGGCAGGATGCTCCGGCCGGCGGCGTCTCCACGCGCCCGGGCTCTGCAGGGTCCCACTTTGGATGAACCGTCACTTTGTGCCGGGATAAAGCAGCGCTTGGAGCCGAGGCCGGGGCCGCCAGCAGCACCGCTGGGACGGAAGGGTGGATGAAACGCGCAGCCGGGAGCCGCAGGCTGCGCCTTCCCGAGGCGAGCGCCGCTTCCTAAGGAAATTCCAGCCTCCTGAGTCCTCATGCCGCCCGGCAGCCTCGGCCCCACCAGCACTGTTGCTTTCCCGTGGTTTTCCAGGCTGTGCTTCTGTAAGTGCAAGCAGTGAGGAGGAGGATGGCCCTGGTGACCCTCCATGAAGGGCTGCACGCTGGTGCGTCCATCCCTGCGTGCCCAGGATGGGTGGAAGGGGACACGCCGCCGTCAAGGCGGTGGAGCACTTGGGTGCCGATGCCTTCCTGGCTCTCCCTGTGGCAGCACGTTCCTTGAATCCACCCTCACGTCACTCCCCGCTCCTCTGGTTTGCTGATTTAGTTGTTATTTTTCTGCTCGTTGTGCACATTTTCCTGTGCCGCTCTCCAGGCCCTGCCTCCTACAATGTGCAGAATAGGCGTCTGTCTCCTCTGCTTTGCTCATCTATCTCTGGAGTTTCCTCCTTGCTACGTGCACAGTCTCCCTCGTCTCATCCGAGAGGTTTTTATCGTGCTGAGCTGCTGTCTGTAGGGGTTTCAGGTGCTTTGTGGTGGGAGAGGGATGCAGTAAAATGCTTTCCCCAAGCAGACACTTGCATTTAAACCCAAGCTCTTCTTTCACACCTCGCTTGCAGGTAGATTTTGGGCAGAGCTCTGCAATGGCCTGAGCTGCCCGAGGGCGCCCGGGCTGTGCAGGGAGGGAAGGGCTGGTGTTCCCGTTCCCGGACCGGCTCTTGTGCGCCGCGCCGGGACACCCTGGCTGTTCATCTTGCTGCAGGTCCCTGGGACACAGCGCCCAAGCTGCTGCTTTGTGTGGCCTTTAGTCATCGCCTGAAGTTTCTCTGGAGCAGGAAATTCGTCCAGGCCATTTAAATGGGTGGTTTCTGCCCTGCACGCCGTGCAGCTGGTGTTTCGCGTGCGCCTCTCATCACTGTGTCTGCCTGGCTTTCCAGCAGAAGGGATCGGCAAGGACTGGGGAATATTTTGGGCCGGGAAGCACCTGTATGGGTGTTTCCGAGCTCTGGTTAGTGGGGGAAAGCGGCTGCTGCTGCCTTCCTTGTGTGTGTGCTCAGTGCACTTGCCTGCCCGAGACTTCTACCCCAGGTTATTAAATTAAATCATAGAGGATTTAAAGGTAGAAACCACCTCTTATTTGCTCTGTTTCTTCCAACAACATGCCCTGCAGGAGACATCCTTTTAGCCAAGATTGCAGATTGATGGTTGGGTGTGTGAACTGCAGGCTTTGTCTTGGGCTCGGGCTGATTATCCCCTCCCATGGCTGAGCCGAGTACATTATAAACAGCTAAACCACATAACAAATTAACACGCAGAGCCTCAACCAAGTGGCAAAGCGTCAGGACTGAACTGCTTACCAATAAGTAAGGAGACCTGCTTAATTCTTGTTGGGCTCAGAGACGTCCTCACTTTATCTCAAGGACTGTATAATTAAATCGCCTCCTTTGAGTTCTCTCTGCAGGGCAGCCTGGTCTAATCCTCTGCTCTGAACGTTGTTTTCTTTTTGCTTTTCCCTCCAGAACCATGTGAGGAACATTGCTGGGGCAAAGGACGAACGCAGGGAACGCGGCCGCTTGCCTTTCCCAGGATGGATCGGAGGAAGAACTGGCCTCGGCTACTGGACTCGGACGGCTGCTCGGTGGCCTTAGTCTGTCTCTTCCTGGCCTCGCTTTCCCGCAACGTCTCCAGCAATGCCTTGTTCAGCACCTTCCACTCCGAGAACCGGGACTGGACCTTCAACCACCTGGCTGTCCACCAAGGCACCGGAGCCGTCTACGTTGGGGCCATCAACCGGGTTTACAAGCTCTCAGGGAACCTGACCATTTTGGTGGCTCACAAGACGGGTCCTGAGGAGGACAACAAGTCTTGCTACCCGCCGCTCATCGTGCAGCCGTGCAGCGAGATCCTGACCCTCACCAACAATGTCAACAAGCTGCTGATCATCGACTACTCTGAGAACCGGCTGCTGGCTTGCGGGAGCCTCTACCAGGGCGTCTGCAAGCTGCTGCGCCTGGATGACCTCTTCATCCTGGTGGAGCCGTCGCACAAAAAGGAGCACTACCTCTCCAGCGTCAACAAGACGGGCACCATGTACGGCGTGATTGTGCGCTCCGAAGGCGAGGACGGGAAGCTCTTCATCGGCACGGCCGTCGACGGGAAGCAGGATTATTTTCCCACCCTCTCCAGCCGCAAGCTTCCCCGGGATCCAGAGTCATCAGCCATGTTGGATTATGAGCTGCACAGTGACTTTGTGTCCTCCCTTATCAAGATCCCCTCGGATACGCTGGCCCTTGTTTCTCACTTTGACATCTTCTACATCTACGGTTTCGCCAGCGGCAATTTTGTCTATTTTTTGACTGTCCAGCCAGAGACGCCCGAAGGAGTGTCCATCAACTCCGCCAGTGACCTCTTCTACACGTCTCGTATTGTCCGGCTCTGCAAAGATGACCCCAAATTCCATTCCTATGTGTCCCTGCCCTTCGGCTGTGTCCGAGGGGACACCGAGTACCGCCTCCTGCAAGCCGCTTACCTCTCCAAGCCGGGAGACGTGCTGGCCAGGTCCCTCAACATCACGCCCCAGGAAGATGTCCTCTTTGCCATCTTCTCCAAGGGGCAGAAGCAGTACCACCAGCCGCCGGACGACTCGGCGCTCTGCGTCTTCCCGATCCGTGCCGTCAACGCGCACATCAAGGACCGCCTGCAGTCCTGCTACCAGGGGGAAGGCAACCTGGAGCTCAACTGGCTGCTGGGCAAGGACGTGCAGTGCACCAAGGCGGTAAGGGAGCCAGGGGCTGGACTGAGCACCCCGACGGGCACAATCCACCTTACATTTCAGTGCCTCAGTTTCCCTGGGCACGGGCAGCTGCAGCAGCCCCTTTTCATCTTTAATCCTTATTGTTATCAGACAGGCAGTTATGACAATGAAAGGAAGAGATAGTTTTGAAGTAGATGAATAGCCCGCTACTGTTGGAAGTGCTCTGCCGTTCCCAACCTCAGGCTCTAAAAATCCGAGGAAGCCGGAGGAAGGCTGTCCTGCCCTTCCCGCAGCAGGAGGCTGCTGCAAACAAACTAACAGGATAAATACAAATGACACTTGCATCTTTTGTGTTTTTATTCAGCTGATTTCTTTAATCTTGATTCACATGCAGATTCTTCTGACTTGAGAATCCCTGGGGCCTTCTTTTGCCAAGCATATTAAATTTGGCTGCTAGGAGATGATAAACGTGGGTTAAATGAAGTACAGGGAAGTGGAGAGGAGCTAGAACGCTGCCTAGCACAGCGGAGAGTCACAGGCAGATTTTCCCTGCTCAGTTGCAACCAGATACCCTGAACGCTTGGTAGTTAACATCCCCCATGGGAAAATGAGTGAGTAGAGCTACCGCTGTCACAGTGTCACAGCTGCCACCCCTCCCACAGCCCTGCCACCTACTCCGCGTAGGAATTTACTCACTCTCAGCTAATATCACTTGATAACACTTAGCTGCTAGTGTCTTGATGCTCCCCTACTGGGGGCGAGTGCTCCAGGGAGAAGCCAGTGCCCGTATTCTCTGTACTGTGGAGGGAAACTGAGGCACAGTAAGGAGATCTCTGCAACTAGGTAGTGGCAGAAACAGGACATTATCTTGGGCTTGTGGACCTCGTGTTCTCCACTGGAGGCTCTGCCTGATGGCAGCGCTTGGGTGGCAGCCTTGGCCTGGCCCTCCTGCCCATGATTGCCCTGCGTGGGTAAGTGGGAATCCTGCCCTTCCATGACAGCCCATCCTGCGCCTTTCCACAGCCACGTACTGGCTTGGGAAAACTCTCCAGCAGCTCCAGAATTAAAACGTGCCGCGGAGCTGGGCTGCTCGTGCGAAAGGAGGCGCCCGCTGGCAGAGGGAGCCGAAGGAGCAGCTTCCACCTCCTCTGCAAGCTGCCCAAGCCCCCTGCCCTGCTTGGTGGCAGCAGGACGTGCCCTTGTTGTTGTGAACGGTGTCAAATGGGATGCGATGGGCTGGGAAGGTGGCGTCTGGGCGAGTGAAGGTTGTTTCTTGCTCACCGGCACGAGGGGAAAGTGCTTTAACCCTCAGCTCGTAGGTCAGGGCTGCTGCTGCTGCTTCGCTTTCAACTGCTGGGATGAAGGAGATAAGGACAGGGAGGGGGATGCAGGAGAAGCAGCTCAGACGTCGTGGCTGTGATCTCTGAATGGGCTCGTGTGGTCTTCAAAGGAGGCCTGTGCTCACGTGGAGATGTTTGAGCACCATTTATAGCGCTTAGCACCTGTAAGAATCAGGGCCAGGGCAGATGAAGTGCAAGGAGGAGCCGGCTGCTGCACAGGCCTGCACGCACAGGAGCAAATCCCTGAGAAAGCTGATGGGATCTGAACCCTATGGAAACGTTCGCACCGTGCGCGGGCCGGCAGGAGGGCAGAGCCTGGCGGGGTGGCTGCACTCCCGCGCCGCTCACGCTCACCCGCTCCTTCTCTTTCCAGCCGGTTCCAATCGATGACAACTTCTGCGGGCTGGACATCAACCAGCCCCTGGGCGGGTCGACGCCGGTGGACGGGGTGCCGCTGTTCAGCTCCAGCCGGGACCGCATGGCATCCGTCGCCTCCTACGTCTACAACGGCTCCAGCGTGGTGTTCGTGGGGACCAAGAGCGGCAAGCTGAAGAAGGTGAGCGCGTGGCGGCGGCCCCGAGAGCCGGCTCGGCCGCGCCGCCTTGCCGAGCAGCCTCTGGCGCGTTGGCCTCGTGTGCCAGCTCTTGCTGCTAGCAACAAGAGGTGATGGTGGTGAAGCCGACCGGGGTGTTGTCTTCCTCGCTTCCTCGGAACTGCTGTTTCCAGCAAGTGGGATGCGGAGTCTGGTCAGGCCCCGTCACGCTGCTGTTGAGAGTGGCCTACGCTACTCGTATCTCAAAAGTCCCACGTTTAAAATGAGTCTAAAAATGGACTCGTGGAGGTGTAGGCAGGTGCTTTCGTGTGGCCCTGGCTTTCGGCTGTGCTAGCTCATGAGTCTTTGCAAAAATCTGATCTGGCTTTGGCGAAACTGGCTTTATAGCTGCTGCTCTGGAAAACAGAGGCTCTTCCACTTAACCTGCAATGTAAATGCGAGGCACTGGGTGAGAGCCCTAAATGCAGATGCTTCCAGCTCCAGCGAAAGAGTTAACAAATGTAATCAACAGCAGGTTGTTAATTTTTTTGTGTCCTTAAGCAGCAGGGAATTTCTTTCTCATCTCTCCAGGAAGGTACAAGGACAGGCAGATATTACAGTTGAATCTCTGCATCATTTTAATTACATCAGCTCATTAATATTCATTCAGCACTTTACAAGTGCTGAGTAGTAGTAAATGAGGTGCCTCCGTGGGGCCTGCCGCGTGGCAGCGGGGCAGGCTGGAGCACTGTGGGGCCAAGGCAGCCTCCCGGTGCCGCCTGCCCGGCCGCCTGCGCTGCTCCCTGCGGCTCCATGAGTTTTCCAGCTAAAACAGAGGTGCCCGCAGCGCGTCTTGGGTGCCAGTGCTGGCAGCTCCAGGGAGCTGCTCTGGTTCTCACAGCTCCTGGTGCCAGGGGGATGCAGGGAAGGTGCCTCCTTTAGAGACACGTGCAGCAAACAGCCTGTGTCTGTGCGTGGGTGTTTTCTGTGGCGAGCAGAGTTGCATCCCATCAGTTATTTAGGATTACAGGAGACGCATCCTCACCTGCGTGGTTTAATTCTGGATGTGCTATTCCAACATGGAAAACCTCCCCAAACTTCCACCTTTTCCATGCAGAGCAGAGCTACATGTGTCAATCCTTCCCACTCTGTGTGTGCTGGGAGTGGGGGAGCTGGGGAAAAAGAACTAAGGGCAACAGCTCAAGTTTTACCCGCTTGAGCCAGTGCTAAACAGGTGCGGAGAAAATCAGTCCATGTCTCCAGTAGGTTGGCCCTTGGCGTGCGCTGCAGTCAGCCTCTCGTGGCACCTGCCGGGCATCCCTATTTCACATTTATTGCCGTTGTCTGCAGCGGGTGAGACTCAGGCGCCTCCTGTTAGACATTCCTGTCTGCACATTTGTGAAGTTTGTTCCCTTTTGATGTGTGGGTTTATGTTTTTGTATGGCCTAAGAGAGGAGCAGCTTCGCGCGGAGCTGCGGGTGCGCTCGCTTGCAGAGGAGGCACCGCGGAGCTGTTGGGGAGGTGACAGATTGACGTGAGGGGGGGACGTCCAAGAATAGAGTCCCCTGGAAGTTGGCGGGTGGTTGGGCTGCTCGGTGCCGTAAACACATCCATGTCTCTCCTTCCCCTTGAGCAAGGTGAGGACAGTAAAAGCACGGACCCCTCTGCAAAGAGCCGGCTAAACCCCTCGTCTGCCCCCATCGCCGCCGCTGCCCACGCACCGGGGTCTGAAAGCTCTCGCACCCGTTCCCACTGCCACCACTGCTGCTTTGCTATGGAAACCAGCTAGTGGGCTCGCTCTGGGGCTCCCAAGATGAGCCTGTTTTTCTTTTCTGTAGCTTCAGGAATGAAGGCAGGGAGCAGCTCTGGAATTCCTTAAATCTGGGCTTCCCTGCGGGAACTCGCTGCCGGAGAGGCCGGCGGCCTCGCTGCCCTCCGTCCTCCCTGCACTTGCCTAGCAGCTCCCGGGGCCTTGTGGCTTCCCGGCCCCTCTCCCAAAGGAGCAGCTGCTTTTTTCCCAGAGCTGCCCCTTCCTCCATCCCCAGGGAGCATCTGCAGCCCCGTTTTGCACTATATTACAGCCCTAACCATTCAGGATTGTGAATTCCTGGGAAAAAAAGTAATTTTCATCCAGCAAAATCAGAGGAGACATTAATGCAACAGTTAACAGCAACTAACTGCTGGGGGGAGATGTCAGCTTGCTTGTTCTGTTTATGGCCTTTATGCAATTCCATCAATATTGATGTGTGATGCCTTTGATTTTGACACTAATCATTGCTATGAATTAAATTTGCAGCCATATAATTAGGACTGCTATTAATAGGGCCTCAAGCTAAGTACTGCTGTGCTAGTTGTCTCTTTCCTGATGGAAAACGGCACCCGCGGAACTCGGCTAACGCAGTTGCCTGGTGGATGCTGAGATTGATGTGAAAATGACCCTCAGTGTTCAGTGGGGCTCCTCTACGTGGCCTGTGTTCGGGAAGGGCCTGACCTGGAGAATTCCCGGAGGGAGGAAGACCCTGGTGTCGCACCAAAACTTTGCAGGGTTTTGCTGCTTCTCTGTAGACCCTATAGACTTAGCATGAGAGAGAAAGAGCGCGGGAAGAAAGGAGTAAGCTCCATTTCTCAGGTCTGAAGGGAGGCTATTGCAAGACTTATTTCCATTTTAGCCGCCCTTCCTCATGCAAATCTTTCCATATATATCTCTACCTTGTGCAGTTTCAGCTCTTTCTCTCCTCCTTTGCCTTCCCAGCTCCATGTCTGCGGCTGAGCGCGTGGCTAGGACAGCAGCATTGCTCACCACTAGAAATCAATCTTGTATTTCATCCCAGGAGGTGTGTATCTTATTAGATCTAATAAATCAGAGAAGTGCCCTTCATTCAGCTTGTCAATGGAGGACATTGTTTGTGATCAGGAATAAATAAATGTCTCTTCTATGTGTGCCGGTGCACGGGCGAGGTGTTATTTCACCGTGGGGCTGTTTATGCCTCTCTGAGAAAAATGAAGCCGGCAGCAACGCGTGCGGGCGCCGGCGGCTCCCACGCAGCGGCAGGAGCAGCGACTTTGCGGCTGCTGGGTGTAACCTGGCACTGAATTACTGCGGCGCTGCCAAGGCTGGAAGGGGCACGGCGATTTGGGGTGTCCTCTCAATGCTGGTTGCACTCCAGCCACCCAGGGTCTGCCTGCAAGCTGGCCTGGTGCTTCCAGGGACTGTCCAAAGGAGCTGTAGGGTCCCTTGTCCATCCTCAGGGCCCTTCTCCATCCTCAGTGTCCGCACTGGTGCTGCAGGCAGGAATTCAGTAATGGACCTCTTGGTTCTTTCTGGCTTCGGAGGCGTGGGGTGATGTTTGCCTCTAATTCATCCCATTCCTCATGGATAAAGGAGCGTCATCCGTTGTTCTAAGGCAGTGTAATGCGCTGTCCCAGTTGTAGCTGCATTTGTACATGGCTGCAATCAATTCTGGCATGCAAGGTGACCTGCAAAGAGCTGTTTGGGATGTCTCTGGGGGGAAAATGCTGCGGGAGGGAGAAAAAAGTCTTGCTGTAAGTAGAGTTTTCATGATTACAAATGCATTTTTATCTACCTGTTGAATGGCTGCGCGCTCAGGACACGGTGCTGTCTGCCCGTGTTTCCAAAGGAAGCGAACGCTCCGCTTCTGTAGGGAGCAGCGATAACCGATCGGGTTACTCAGCCGGGGAAAAGCAAACTTTAAATGTGTTGTTGCTTCGTGGTATGTGATAGTTTTATTCAGCTTGGCTGCTTTAACTTGTTCCATTAGTGGGAATAAAATAGGTCTTCACAATGAAATATACATCAGGACCTGTCCTTATCTGCCTCCATGCTATGCAGGGTTATCTTATCCTTTTAATTTCCCCGTAATTATCACCCAGGCTGTTGTGAAGCACTAGGAAAGAAGTCAGTGGCATCAGCGTGTGGAGGAGCCCAGAGGACACCAGTCAGTTATTGAACAGATGAAAATCATTTGCTGGCAGAGCCTTTCCAAAGGAGCTTCCAAGTTTGGGGAATAGGTTGTAGCACTGGATGCGCTGCCGCCTGAGCACCTGAACCCCAAATGGATGCCCTTAAATCACAACCCCAGCAAATGAGGCTCCTGAACAGTCCTCCCAACTCCCTGGTCATCCCTTACGGTGCTTGATGTCAATAGGCAGAGCGGGAGCGGTGCTTTTGAGCTGGAATGTGCGCCGGGAAAGCGGGAGAGGGCTCCAAGCCGAAGGAGAACCGCACGCTCCCGGGTAGGTCATAGTTGGCTGGTCAGTGTTTAAGAGAAGCTAAATTTGCCCATCAATACTGATGCAGATGAAATGGGAGCGAGGATGACAGAGGAAATGGAGTGCTTTCGGGAGAAGAAACATTATTAATTTTCTCCTCCTTCAGCTCCTTGGAGACACATCTGCTTAAATGGCCTGATGAGCATTTAAAGTAGGGGAATTGGGAAGCAGGGGAAGGTGACGGGAGCGCGGGGCTGCAGCCCGGCGGCCGAGGGCTCCCTGCGGCCATGGCCGTTCCCATCCTCCCTTCCAGGCTCCTTCGTTCTCGGTGTGTTTGTGACATCCCTTTTATTTTTTCCCGTCTTAATCCCCTGGCTCAGGGGCACGGTGTGACAGCTCCCCACTCATTAGGTGTCTCCAAGAAGTCACAGATGATGCTAATCAGACAGGAAGGGAGCCGTGCCGCATGGAAAGAAGAAAAATGTGAGGATACCGTGAGGGTGAGGATTCCTGGATTATTCTTCTCATTTTATCCCCTAGTTCTATTCATCTGATGTGGGATTCACCAGGATCGGCCTGACATCCTCCTGCCTGCGCCTTCGTGGGGTCTCCCCCACCACGTTTTCTCTGTTATTCTTTCCCTTCCTTTTGTTTGGTTCCACGTCTTTGTATCAAATAGATACATGCGGATGAAAGTGATGTGCATTTAAAATGAATGTACACATCATACGGCCTCCCGATTATACAATGTGGGTTTTTTTGTGGTAAGCTGCTAAATTATTTATTGTGCGCTG